ATATAAGGTGATAGCAGGAGTACAAAAACAAAAATTTACATGTATTTTGTTTTTGCTTTGGCGGCATAAACTGTCAAAATCTGTAAGAGTGTGTTTGGAAATTCAAACAAAATTTTTCATTTTGATATCAGAAGCCGTGCGGCGAAACGCATACACAAAATCAGCTGAGCTAGTAACACCACCTTATATAAATTCGCCTTGGTTTGTAATAACAAGAAATTCGAAGTATAAATGACAGAAACGTCAAATGAGGATGAACTCAATTGTTTGAATGGCAACGACGCATGTTCGGCGAAAAAGTTCATTCGCCACTCAGAATGCAAATTTTAGGTGTGTTCGCCAAACCATTCGCTTCGCCAAATTTATGCGCTTCGCAAGTGACAATACCAGCCCAAATATTTTATTCATTTTATTTTCAGAGTGATGGCAACCCTTTATAAAAATGACGTTTTCTAAATGTTATAAAAATGGCTACTTAGCGTGAAATTAGAGCATTTTATTTTTTGTGAATGAAGCAATAAACATATGAAGATTTGTCGCAGAGCGCAAAATTACACATAAAATGTTTAACATAGAGTAATGTAGGCCCCTAATGTTTATTATTTGTAGGAAATGTATTTTTAGTTTCAAAATTTTTGCAACTTTAAACATTTCATGTGTATATTTATGTGTATGTTTTAAAGATCTCAAGTTCAAAATCGAATCCTGAACATCCTATACGTATGTATATTTATACAGATTCCTGTTGAAAAATAGATATTTTTCAGTAGTAGTTTTACACACACTTTTCATAGTGTACAGGTACAAATGTAACATATTAATTACTATTTGTTATACTTTGCAAAATACTTATGTATAAAAGATGTAATTTATAAATTGAAATTGCAAATGTTTGATTTTATGAAATATAAAAATATATATACACGTATTACAAGTCCTTAGGTGGGTTAAATTATGTATTTTTCTTCAAAATGATTGCATTTCTTACAAATTATGAGATGGATACGTAAAAAAAGAAAATTGGATACATTTGGATACATTTTTGGCTTGGTCGGTGATACATTTTCTTGGGACGGCGCGGCAACACTGGCGACCATACTTCTCTTCACTATCCGCGCTCTCAGTGAGAGGAAGAGAAAGAAGCGTATTCGCTAGAAAACTTCAATGTGAAGCCAACTATCTTCCGATGTAGGCAGGGTTGCCACTTTGGTAAATTATTACCAAAATTGGTAGAAAAAATTTGCGTTGGTAAAGGTAAATTTTTTCTCGTTCTGGTAGAGTTTAGTAAAAGTATTTAGTTTGAAAAGCAAACAAAATTTTAGTTCCCGCTTTATTTTTCGTAGTTATCTTTACATTAAAAATTTATTTCCAAAAGTGTAGTCTTCTTTATTGTATTAATTTTCGGACGCTTTAGTGCACACTTTTTGTATACCTACACTGAGGGAAATAATGCATAGTAAAAATTAATACTTTATATTCGATTTTCGTTTAAAAATTTTCGTATTTAAAAATAATATTTTAATACAAATTTTTAGTACGCACATATTTGAATGTTCACATTTGAGTATGCATACGTAAATGTGCGTATGTACCAAACATACCACACACGCATCATGTTTATCCGTACAAATCGCGTGCTGTGGTGTTGACATTTATATGTGAGGCTGTAGCTGAGGGCGCAAAGATGCTTGCCACAATTTGTTGATATCCAGAGAGGGTCAGTGTTCGAATTCCATTGGAGGCAACACGCAAATTGAATATATATATCTTTTTTGGTTTTATATTGATTATTCACTTCACGGATGCTTTTTCAGAACGAACGTGGTCATTTTAATACGCGCGTAATCGAATTGAATATTTGCCAATATACAGTACTTACGTTGACGTTTATAGTAAGATCAACCACGTTTCTCATTGATTTTAATATTTTTTCCTCCTCAGTGTACATATGTAAGAATGTATATCGATAAAAGGCGAACAATATCGTGCTCCATTCAAATTTCATTTTATTGGAATCTTGAGGAGCTTTTGATTGTCTAAACATTTTAAATGTTTCTTTAAAAATGTTGTAACTTCAAGTATTTATTAATCTAATTTGTTAACAATATTCAGTAATTTTAAGTAAGAACACGTGATAGCGGAAATCGTAATATAAGCGAAGTGGTCTGTAGTTTGCAAACGTAAACTTGCGAAGGATCTTAAGAAACAGTGTTGCATTAGATGCGTTATTCAGTTCTTAGGAACAGTGTTGCATTCAGATGCATCAGTCCCTCCGCACCTAGTCAAGAACCCTCCCTTTAGTCCTCATAGGCGAGCCTTCAACTGGTTACGGTGGCGACGGAGTAAGCCTTGGCCCGTACTCACGCGATACATCATACTGCCAACTTTGCTTTGAATTACACCAGGAATCCACGGTGGACCCCGTGCATAGTTCCTGGCGTAAACGTTTGTCGAACCCTTGAGTGGGAGTGGGTACAAGCATATTAAGCCGTGTTTTTGGCTGGCGGCCATGTAGCAATTCCGCCGGCGACTTATTGCTACTGCCAATGGGACAAGTTCTGTAAGTGATAAGAATGGTTAGTAGAGAATCTAAATGATTTTTACCGTCCGCGACTGCTTTCTTAAAGGCTTGCTTAAAGGTGCGCACAAAGCGTTCAGCTTCGCCGTTCGATGCGGGATGAAAAGGCGCAGTGGTGAGATGCGTAATCCCATTGCTGTTACAAAAAACCTGGAACTCGGCCGCTGAGAATTGCCGTCCGTTATCCGTGACTATGGTATCAGGCAGACCTTCGACAGAAAATATTACTTTTAAGGCATCGATCGTTGCTTTAGCCGTTATACTGGCCATCTTTGTTACAAATGGATATTTCGAAAATGCGTCGATGCATATAAGCCAAGTAGCGTTATGAAACGGCCCTGCAAAGTCCAAGTGTATGCGCTGCCATGGACGTTCAGCTACAGACCAATTTGTATATGCTCGAGCTGGTGAAGATGTACTTTGCTGTTGGCATATTTCGCATTGTGAAACTTTCTTTTCTATGTGTGTATCCATAGAGGGCCACCAGCAGTGTTGACGCGCCATTTGCTTCATACGCGTCATACCCCAGTG